TAGAACTATCGGCTTCAATTTTCATTCTATCTTCTATACTCTCTTCATTATTATTATCATTATTATCTCCAATTTTTTAAATACTTAACATTAGAACTGTTGAATTTTTTAATTGTTTTTTTAATAATTGAAATTTTTTTTTATAACCCATGAAATAATAAGCAATATAGATGAACAATAGAGAATATATGATCAGAAATATATAAATAGATATATGAACGAGAGAAAAACAAGAGATATAAGATCGAAGTATATGAGCGATAGAGTTTAGAATTGGATGAAAATATTGTAAGAGAGATGTAGAGAAAAGAAAAAATAAAGCTTTAAATAAAAAAAATCAATACTTCTTTTTGAAATGCCAATAGGCCTAATAGGTTTTTTGTTTTTATGATCGAGTTAAAAAAAAGTATCAACCACTTTTGTTATATTTCTTAACATATCAATACAATTATATTATATTTTGAAAATTACATACTTTGTTTTTATGATCGAGTTTTAAAAAAAAACACGTATCAATTCACTGATAGATGTGTTAACATACTGATAGATTCTTCATTGTATTTCTTAACATATCAATACAATTATACTCTGTTTTGACAAATAAACTTTTTATTTGAAAATTATATAATCAGATTTTAAAAAACATGTGTTAACTTACTGATAGATCTTTCATTATACTTTCATAACATATCAATCATATTAATTATCTTTATTTTGCTATGTATATCAACTAATATATATTTTTTGTTTTGACATTTTTTTAGTAATTTGAATTAATTATAAAAGTTATTAATATCCTGATATACCTTTCGATTATAATTCACATAATATAAGATTGATTAATAGATCTTTCAATTTTTCTATATATTTTTTATACAACAAAATCAATAAATCGGCCTATATAATTTTTTTTTATTTTGTGTATTGAGAAATTAAATTTTTTGATTTAATTTTTAAGTAATTTGAATTAGCAAAAAGTTATCTATATTCTAGTAATTCTTCAATCACGTTCAATGAAGTTATTTACTAATTTTGTAGTGTAAATTTTAATTTACAATAGATTATATAATAATATAATAGATTATACAATAATATATATTATAACTGATTGTAAATTTTAAGCCTGATATTAAATTAATAGCATTTTAAAATCATCTAACGCAATCATAAGTGTAATCACATTGTCTTTTAGAAATAAGACCTGGCTATAAAAAGTATAAATAGATCATATATTTTTTTTAATATATATTATCAAGTTTGACTTTTTCACATCATTCTTCTTTTAGTGACATTTATTTAACTTTTCACTTCGCTCATAAATATCATTACTATATAATATATTAAATTAAAGCTTACTTAATAAATAAGGTATAATTTATATAAAAGAAATCGCTTTTCTTGTCTCTTTTCTTTTTTTCAAATTAAAGTAACAGAATATCTAATAACCCCATCCATATAAATTTTTTTTTGATCCAATTTTGGAAAATACGAGGTAGAACTTTATACCAAATTAACTTTATTTCGAGTTGACATTCAATTTCTTTATCTATGTCACCTTAAAGAAGTACACCACTACGATCAACAGTATCTTATTGGCAAGGCCGCCAGTCTATTTTTAATCGAAACCAATACAAAAGCTATAGTTATCATCATTCTGAAACTCCACTTCATCAAAACCATCATTGCTCTGAAACTCTATCTCGCCAAAATAATCATCACTCTGTAACTCCACCTTGCAAAAATCACTGTTGTTCCAACATACTGCCTAACCGCTGACCTAAAACTTTGAATTTGAATGTTAATAGAAATTATCAAGATACTGGGAGTCGTAGTCAAAGATCTATTTCACTAGCAAACGAACGTTCTCTTACCGCTCAAAAAGTTCTAATGAACAAAAGGATAAAGGTGACTATATATATAAAAAAAAAGTGCTGCAAAGCTAAAACAAGCAAATCTTATAAGATTTGCTTGGTTTACTTTGCGGCAAAAAGTTTTTACTAATAGAGCTATTGAATTATCGATATGTCTAACAAAGAATTTATATTAATAGAAATCACTCTTTTAACAACTACGGTGCAAAGTCTGATTAATGAAGTAAGAATATTAAAAGCTAATAAATCAACTACACTGAAAGATCGTCTAGTTTATGTTGTGGATGATGATAATTAAACAACCTATGAAAACAAACCTAATGAAGCATCTGAAAATACCAACACTACTAATACACCTGAAAATAACGAAACTACCGAAGCACCTGAAGAAGCTAATGAAACTAATGAAACTAATAAAACTAATAAAACTAATGAAACTAATGAAACTAATGAAACTATTAAAACTACTGAAGCACCCCACAATACTGGTATGACCGAAACTACTACAAATAAAGACAAGGGTAAGCAAAAGGAGCAAGATATTCGTAAAAGAAATCAAAAAAAGCTCTTAGTAACTCTGGAACCTCCTACCGGTTACAAGAGAAGACCATGTGAGTTCTTGGAAGATATGGATTCTGACTAATATAAGCTTTTTCATATATTTCAATGATATTATAATAATTAATAGTATTGTAGTTATTAATTACCTTTATTTAATTAGGATGAGGTAGTCAATATCTTAGATGGCCTTGATAATTCTTTGCAGCTTGATCCGTCAAAAAGATGAATGGAAATTTATGAAAAAATATCCAAACGAATCATGTCAGCGATTGGTAAGGCTTTGGAGGATCGTTTTAGATATAAAATTAGTGAACTTAAGTACGTTCTCCAAAGCCTTCACCGCCACTGATGTGAAAAATAGTCTATAAATCAAGATGAGGATAAATCGAAAGTTGATAAAAAAAGAAAGAGAGTAAATGCTTGATATTCTGATATAAATGTGAATCATTTTTATAAAACTACCAGGTTGCAAACATTTATTATAAATGAACAGTTTTTTTTTTTTTTTTTTTTAAATTTATGATTTGTAGAAAAAGAAAAAGTGAATTCGTGGTATTGGTCATATAATTAATATCAAAGATAAAAACTTTAAAGACCTTGCACTATTAATAGATTTTGACAATTTTAAAAAAGATCTTGAAAATATTATTAACAATAGAAGCTACCATTCTGATGAAATTTCAGAAAAGGATGTTGAATTTACGAAGGCAGAAAAATGCCAAAAAATACGTTCAAATAAAAAAATTGATAACCATGTTCTCCATGTTTACAATAAGCCCTGGAGATCTCGTAGAGTAAGTAAGCTTTTTATTATTTCATTTTAAATTTATTTATTTATTTTTCATTCTATTTTAACTATAGATTAAAAAAATTTTGCGGTTGGCTGATAAAAGGTGAGAAAAAATATCCTACATTAAATTGTCAAAAAAGCGGTGATACAATGACAACAAATGGGTCAATAAATCAAAACTTCCAAACGATACTCCCAAGTGGTCTATTTCTGCTTTTTATGTTCCGGACGACACGACGACAAAGAAGAAGTAGTTCTAAGTGGTAGTAGTAGCAGTAGCAATAATGGAGGTGCAAGAAGCACCGGATGAAGCATTGAAGATGATACCAATAGAAATTACGATGAATTGTATGATGATTATGATGAATCACAAAACGAAACTGATAATAATAATGAAGAACATGACAATTTCGATGATACAAATAACATTTCTGGTAAATAGAAATTCTACTAAAATAGCAATATATTATTTTTTTATTTTATAACTTTAGACATCATACTACGTATAGTTGATATAGTATATTTTTTGTAAAAAAAATTATATTATTTGTATTAGTATTAGCAATTGCATAATATGTAGCATATGCGAATTACAA